TTAGTTTATCAAACATAAGTTTAGTTTTCATAAAAATATGATCGAATTGAGACTGCCAACAAACGGAAACTTGTTCAGAAAAAATATATTAAGTTAATGTTAAAAAAGCAGCTACTCTATCGCTGAGGATCGATCATTTCAAAAACAAAAGCAGATAGCGACCTTCGGCCCACCGCCTACCACCTGTGCGGAGCGGTGCAGCTCCGCCGGACAGCGGGAGTCACGAGGACCCACGAGATCTCGCGAATTCACGCATAATCGCGATATAACAAGATGTAGTTTCTATAAACAGAACCACAAAACCAGAGGAGTAGTAGGAAGACATCTCGGTGCACCTCCATGATTAACATCTCCTCGTCCATGGTGTCAACAGGGTGAAATGATGTCTGAAAACCTCTGACCAGCGTTGCCAGGTGGGAAATGTAGGATTATCGTACCAGAGACTCAAAATTATTGTATTTTGAGGGAAATTATCGTACATCCGTCATAACCAAAATAACAATCCTACTGATGCGCTATAGACAAATATAGTCACTCTAGTGTTTACTTTTTGGTTTTCTTTTTTTTTTCCATTTTCCTCGCTTCTGTTTTTCCTCTTCTTCTTCTTCTTTTGAATCTCATTCTTGCTTGACTTCCTGGCGGGTCCTAGCGCCTCGTGGGGTGGGTACAGCTGACCATTCAGCCAATCGTGCTCATTGTTCAGAGACAAACATCACCCCTATCTCATGCTAAGCAAAGTGCGATTGGCTGGAAACATGTCACATGGGAACAGATGTCTTCAGGGCTCACAAAAAAACTCTGGCATACTGATTACAACCACACATTCATGAAATTGTCAAATTATCATACATTTGGCCTTTTTTTGGGATTATTGATCATACAGAGGGCCAAATTATCGTACAAATACGATAATTATCATACACCTGGCAACGCTGCCTCTGACCTGTTGACTTCAGGCCTGCCTCCGCCCATTATGACGTTTTCAAGGTGTAGTGCAGGGAAATATATAGCAGAGACATTTGGCCCACATTTGGCTGGAAGCTGGCACAGGTGGCATTCAGTCAGCACTGGCATGCGGCATATGGACCAAACATGGCCCATATGTGGCAGAGGTGGCACCGTCTTTAAGGTGGCAAACAAGCTGTGGGCCAGTTGTTGAGTGTAGTATTTGGCCCAGATGTAAAATTAGATCTGTGGACCACATGTGTGTGGCCGGTTTTGTTCCACAGTTAATTGTAATTTCAGATATTTTTGAGTAAGGTGCCAATATCTTCCTGTTTGCAACATGTCAAGCTAAATCCATCCAACAATAAATATTTCATCAAGTAAAATGCAAGCAAAATGGATTGTCCAAAGATTCTGTATCAAATGTTAACGTGATAGTTCGGCTGTTGTAAATATTTGTTATAGCCTATTCAAATATTCAATCCCAAAAACGCCGTTTCTAGAGAACTTGCTAAAATATCTGAAATGAACCATCATGCCTACTTTTTCTTAACATATTTCATCTAGGTGCAGTGTCATTACTAGTTCAGCTTTACTAGACATTTGATATATTCAGTAGATGTATCTTTTTACGACCCTGTTTTACAACAAGCCGCAAAAAAACCTACTGTCCCAAAAACGCCGTTTCTAGTGTATTAGCTAAAATATCAAAAATTAGCCTACATCCTTACTTTTTCTTACCATAGTTCATCTAGGTGGAGTGTAATAACTCGTTCGGCTTTACTTGATATTAGATATATTCAGTAGATATATCTTTTTACAACCCTATTTAGAACCCTACTTTGCAAATCAGAAGAACTACAACTATGTTGCTGATATGTATCAAACTGCATGGCGCGGTCCCAGGGAATTGTAGTTTTTTAAAAATCTAAGTGTTTTTCCCAGATTTGGAAGTTGTAAATACTGAATTGAGAGTACACTGTGGACTTTAAGGGGATGGTAAACACATTTGTGAAATCAGATTTTAAATATCTAATTTCTAAATGGGTGAAAATTAATTT